ACCTCCACCTTGTCTAAGTCCTTGTATTTGGGAGGTCTCTTTTTATGGTGTCTATGTGGACACCCTATGGAGTCTATGACACCCTAACGATATGCCTTCCTACCTGCTTCTTTGTTCCTTAGGAACAAACTCCAGGGCCACTCCTTGGTGAAGTTTTCCCAGAGCCCCCAGCTCCTTTGGCTCCTGGGTACTTCACATGCACCCCCTCACCACTCACTGACCCAGAAGACGGCTAGGAATCTGAGGGTATTCAAACATTCCAGAGCATTAGAACTGAATTCCCATCTACTTATTTTTAGTATTTTTAGTATTTTGAGGTTACCCATGCACATGAAGTGCTCAGTCCCATGCCTGGCACACAGTAGGTGCTCAATTAGGACACAGTGGCAGTAACTGCTATTATTTAAAATAGGTTGGGTTTGGTGTTGAGGAGGTTACCATACCAAGGCATGAGAGAGAAGCCTCAGCTGAGTCAGAGAGAGGGCGGGCGGGGGACCCTCTCGCATTAGACTGGCTGAAGGTGACTTCTCCACTTTCATCCATCCTCTCTGCAGTACAGTCATGGCGCTAGTGCGCAAGCCTGACCACATCACCCCCATGCCACTGCTGCAGTCCAAGCCCTTTGGCCTGGCAATCAGGGCATGACTCTGGCCTACCCTTTCCCTTGGAGATGAGGCTCAGACAGTGAAGTGATTTCCTCCAGCAGCTGAGCTGGCCATTCTTCCCTCTGGGTGCAAAAATGTGTCATCCTTCACACTGCCTGCCCCTCCCTGGACTTGACACAGGCCAGCCCCACCCAGCCCCAGCGTAGCAGGCCTGAAGTAGCTGCTTCCTTGCTGGCTAGAACCTATAATGTCCTGCTCCCCATTTGTTAATGAGAAAAGGGACCGAGAATGGGAAAGTTTCCCTAGTCTTTGTATTTTTCTCACGTGGCCTAGGAAGTCTCACGGTATGTATATCTGTTCCCAATGCTCTTCTCCCATCCCACCAGGCCATATGCTTTGCAAATTGCCCACACCTATTCCTCTGAACTTCTGGCAGCCATGACCCTCCTAATTGAGGGTTGACCTTTGGCATCGTTCTCAAGCCTCCAAGCCCATCACTCCCTTGGCAAACAGCGCATGCAGCCCAGAAGCAGGATGCAGCCAGATCTTAGCCAGTAGATGGCTATTTTGGGACAGGGAGGATCCCAGGAGGATGCTGGCAAGGTCAGATAGAAAGGGAAAGAGGCAGATTTTCTGCCCATGATTATGTGTCCCAAGCCTTTTGGGTGCCGCCCAGGGGCCCAAGACTGCCACAGGAAGAACACACCCACCGCAGGACTCAGTCTAGCTGGCCACAGAGGGCAGGCATGGGTTTGAGGATCTAGGCTTCCATCTCAGCGACCACAGCGGGCAGGAAGAATGTGTTTATTTGTTTTTTCCCAATAGCAGTGAATTCAGGATCAGGCAAGATCTGGGGTGGGGTGGGGGATAAGGTGTCTGAAACCAATCAGACGGCAGAGAGAGAACACAAGGAAGAAGCCAGTCATCAGCAATGTCTACTGATGCTTTTACTGAATATTCACAGAGCATCTACTATGTATGGGGTACAGTATTAGGGGCTGGCAAGACAAGAGTGAATCATGCTTTGAATTTGTGTGTAGCACTTGACAATCGTGTGAGTCCACCTGCAAGGATCAGGAGCCTTAAAGTGGTTTATAAATTCTGATCCTCAGGAAATAATCGGAAATGCATGATGTAAGGACAAGAATGAGAGTGATGTTCTCTTTGCAAATCTAAGGATGTTCAAATCTTCCAGAGTGTTAGAACTGAACTCCCTTCTACCTATTTTTAATATTTTGAGGGAGGATACTGATGCACATGAAGTGCTCAATCCTGTGCCTGGCACATAGTAGGTGCTCAATTAGGGCACAGTGGCAGTAACTGCTATTATTTAAAATAGGTTGTGTTTGGTGTTGAAGAGGTCACTGTACCAAGGCATGAGAAGCCTCAGCTGAGTCAGAGAGAGGCCGGGGGACCCAGCAGCACCCAGCTCATCCTAGGAGATGTATTTTGCAGTAATTTCATGACGTGAGATGCTTCCGTGTAGCCATTCCAGTCGTTCTCTGCCTCAGTTCCAAAAGGCTGGGAGAGCATCTTAGTTCCCTCTGATTTTGTCTGAGTTTGGGACCTTCTCTTTAAATTCTTCAGCTGTTGTCCACTGGCTCTGAACTATGCTTTGGGCCAAAGTGCCTTCCGAAAAATTCTCAACGTGCAGGGGTATCCCTCCGAGGAGCCCCGGCTCACTCTCCCTCCATGCCTGGCCAACTCAGTCCCTGCCACTGTCCCCTCCCCACAGAGAAACAGTGTCAGGCCCTTTCTTCTCCTCATGGTGTTTCCTCCTCCTCCGACCCTCTGAGCTACTTCATGGTCTTCTCTTCACTGCCCAGGACCCCTGGGTTCCACACAGACTCTCAGCAGGCAGGGAGAAGGGAAGCCCTCTTCCAAGTCCTTTCCCCTCCTGCCACATACCTCCCCGACTCCCAGCCTCCCAGGGACTACCTGAGCCAGACTTTCTGAAGCACAATATTGAAACCTACTGACAGCCACATACTCTCATGGTGGATAGAACACTTGAAAGCTACCAGATAGCTGATGTGCCTTCCCCAATAAGGAAGAGAAGGGAGAAAGGCAAGGCTCTGCCTGGCCACAAATGTGCCCCCAACACTAGAACATGACATTTGATAAGGGTTTCTGTGCATCTTTGAAGTGCGAGAGGCAGTTAAGAAAATAGTAATAATCGTGCTTACTAGGAATCAGACGGTGCCAAGCAGTTTCTAGATTATCTCATGGAATCTCTACCAGAGACCTGCAAGGCATCTATTGTCCCTGTTTTACAGACAAGGTAGCTGAGGCATAAGGAGGTTAAATAACTCTCTGAAGTTCATAAGTCTGGTCCATGTTGGAGATGGAATTCGAACCTACACCTTCTGTGGCTCCAAATATCCTGCCCTTAACTGGCATTCTATATGCTGAACAAAAATTGGTTGTCATTGCTCAAGAGTTATAAGAGCGGCAGATATGGTCATCGGAAACACGGGCTGCCCCACAAACCCCGATGCAAACCATCTCTCTGCCCGGGCCTCATCACCCAACCCTCACCTCCACCCATCTCATTAATCTTGGCATTCTTCTCCCGAAAGCTTTCCCAGACCCCAAGGCCCAATCTTCTGGGCCCAGAGAGAGGGAGGGAGCTTCCCAGGACTTCTGGACACCCTTTTAATTAACCCGGACGACCCTCTTCTCACCAGGTCCAGCTGAATCTTTTCACGGTCTCACTGTCTCTCCGGGCAGCATCCCAGAACTGAGACTCCCACCCCAGCCCATTCACTCTCCCGCAAATGCGGTCCCTCATTTCCCATATGCTTAACATCTGTCGGCCTCTCTTCCCTGGCTTGGGGACCTGGGTAAGTGTTACTTGGGCCCCTCAGCTTCTGGGGCCAGAGGAGGGCCTGCCAGAGAGCCCAGTGAGCACCCTGCCAGTGCCACCTGCCACCGTGGGTATCGAGAAGGCCACATGCTGAGCTGGCAGAGGCCCGTAGAAGAGCAAAACACTCTGCCATTACTTAACTGTGCTGCCCTGTCTCCTCCAACCCTTTTTTAGACCTTCCTTCCCCACCCCTAAAGAGGTACAGCCCATTCTAGTTCCTCAGGAAAACACTGAAACTTTCTCATCTGTCATTCTCATGGCTGAACAATAACAGGCACCTAGAAAACGTCTCATAAGCAGTAACTTAATCATTTGCATTCACAGCGGACAATGCACTTGAACCAAACACACTTCATGGTGCCCAGCAGGTCCTCAGTACATAGCTGTTACACAGATGAATAGACACGGTTGAGCAGCAGGCCCTAGGATACAGAAGAAGGTGCTAGAATAGGCAGGTCAGGGGTCCACTCGTACACAGCTAGTAAGTGGCAAAGCGGATTTCTGTTCTAGATTAGACCAGTTCACTGTATTACACAGCATCACCTTGAAACCTTTGGCCTTCATTCCTTGCATGTAAGCGTGTGTGTGTGCGCAGGTAGCCTAGAGGCTGTGTAGTGAACACACATCACCCAAATCCAGCTAGCTCTAGAAAATAAGGTCTTGGGCAGGCGCAGTGGCTCATGCCTATAATCCCAGCACTTTGGGAGACTGAGGCGGGCAGATCACCTGAGGTCGGGAGTTCAAGACCAGCCCGACCAACATGAAGAAACTGTCTCTACTAAAAATACAAAATTAGCCGGGTTTGGTGGCACACGCCTTTAATTCCAGCTACTCAGGAGGCTGAGGCAGGAGAATCACTTGAACCCAGGAGGCAGAGGTTGCAGTGAGCTGACATCACCCCATTGCACTCCAGCCTGGGCAACAACAGTAAAACTGTCTCAAAAAAAAAAAAAAAAAAAGAAAGAAAGAAAGAAAGAAAGAAAAGAAAAGAAGGGGGTCAATCATTTGGGTAACAAACATTTTTGTATACCTGGGAAGCTGGGGACACAATGATGAACACAGCAAGCAAGGTACCTCCCCTTGCGCGGGGGCCGATGGTTCCTTTGACACTGCATAGCACTAGATAACTTTCAAAACAGCCATGACCATCATCTTATCTGACTTCACCACAACCTGGTTCAAAGAGTATCAGGCCCATAAAAGACTCTATGAACAAATGATTGGTGGATGGACTGATGGATGCGGGGCAGGCAGGCCAATCAGTGAGTAGATGGAAAACAACCACAGATACTGTCATCCACATCTTTCAAATGAAAAGTGATGGCTTGAGTGAGGTGTGGCTAGAGCGTGGCCACCAGGAAGAGCCTCTAGTCTCAGTTCTAGGAACACCCACACTCTTACCAAGCCCCTAGTAAGAGACTAGTTGACCCTAGTCAACTCTGCAGGCTTATGCTGCACAGGGCAATGTGACAAGGTTCTTACGTAAGGACTCTTACTTGATCCTTGCAACAAAGTTTGCAGCTCCTTACCTGGTGGGCAGTTACATCCTGGAGATGTCTTTGGGGCCTCCCGGCGCCTCCTTGAGTGGAGCTTCCATTTCTGTACAAGGAGACAGACAAGAGGAGTCACCAGGAGCTTGTAGACAGCAAGCCCTGGAGAGTGGCTGTGGGTTGACAAGGGCAGGAAGAGGGGGAAGGGGCCACATAGGGGGTGCTGGCAGAACTCCTCCTGGATCAAAGACAGGCGGTTAATGGCCTTCCACTGGCCACCAGGCATCTGGGTAATAAGAAGCAGAGAAGAAGGCCCATCCTGGTAATCACAGTGTCTGATGTCTTTGGAGCACTCTTAAAGCAATTAAGGCCAACCACAGGACCCTATAAACCAGGTGCATCTTCCTGCCCCTCACACTCATGTGCACAATGACATGCTTTTCTCAGCTCTCTGCTGTTTCCTGCCTTGGACTGGGCTCCTGATGGACCCCTGGGCAGGAACAGTGGCTTCTGTTCTTTGGTGTCCCTTAAAAAGCCAGTATTTGTAGGTGGGGCAGGGGTGCAGGAGTAGGGGCTGGCAAGGCTCTCTGCACTTCTCCACCAATTCTCTTCCTCATTTCTCTTCAAATCACTGAGCCAGTCTGGAAGGTGCCAGAGAGGTGGGAGCGTCAGAGAGGTAGAACACCCTGGCCCTCAAGGAGTTGTCGCGTTCATGGTGGCAAGTGGAGAAGAGCACGCATAAGGACCATGCGTGCAGGATGCCCCTGCTTGCCAACTCTGCAGGCTTATGCTGCACAGGGCAATGTGACAAGGGTCTTATGTAAGGACTCTCATTTGATCCTGGCAACAAAGTTAGCCAGACTAGCCGTTAACAGGGATGCCTCTAGAGCCAGACTGCCTGGGCTAACACACAGTTCCCACACCCTGGGCTAGTAACAGTCCTCACTCCATTGGATTACCGTGAGATTGGAAAGATTAATGCATAGAAAGAATGGCACCTGATACCCAGGAAGTTCTCAACAAATGTTAGCTATTACCACATTCATTTCACAGGCAAGGGACTTAAAGTACAGAGAGGAGACTGCACCTGGCCAAGGTCAAGGCTGAAGTAAGGAACAGCGCTGGGACTCAAGCCCACACTCTGTGATGCTCATGCAGCCATTAGAAGCTGGGAGCCCCAAGGCCAAATAGGCCTTTCAATGTATTTTATTTGGTTCCCACAGTGATCTTTAAATTATTATTATTACTGAATTTGTTGCTAATATTTTGAAGTGGATGGTTTCATGTGCAAATTTGCATTTGTAATTTCTTTTGAAAAACTAACAGAAAGACCTGGCCATATGAAGCCTGTGGTCTGGCTGGCCAGGACCGACTGTACCAGATGTACTGTAGTCCCCGCTCTGACAAGGCTGACCAATTAGGATGACAGCCAGCGCTATCTCCTTCCTCACTACTGTGCAATTTTGCCACTCAGGGTGGGCCACAAGAGAGGTGAAGAAAATAATGTGGGAGGTGTCATAAGGGTGCTATCACCTCTGGTTTGGGGGAGGGGAGGGAAAGTCAGGAAGCTTCACAAGGATTCAGAGCAAGTGGAGTGATTTGCTGAGGATCACACAGCTGGGATGTGGTGGAACTGAGGTGGGAACTCAGGCCTCCTGGCACAATGCCCGCTCTGCCTGCTGGAGAAAGGCGAGTGCAAATGCCTGGGAGCGAACACAATGCCGGGCGGGGCGGGGGCTCTGAGAGCAGAAGGGGGCCGGGGTCAAGGCAGATCAGAAAAGGGGAAACACCCCAAAGCAGAGACCCTCACTTAGAAAGGGGAGGCTGAGTAACCATTAGGTGGATGGGTGTTGACGCCCAGTTACAGGCGGGCACAGGGTGTCTGCTGGACAAACAAATGAGCCCCCAGGACAAAGTCTGGTGCCCAGCTCTGAGCCTGGCTCACAAATGCTGCTTTCCTGTAAGGGACTGCACGAATCTGCTTCCACCTCCCTCCCCACCAATCACCTGGGGTCCTGGCACCCAGAATACGCGTGACACAGGTCTGCTGAAGGACAAAGCCAGTCAATGACTGACAAGCCAAGACCAGTGGAGTCGGCACCATTTTGGCTAAAGGTTGTAACCACTCAACAGCAGCACGGAGCAAGCTGCCATCACAGCGTTGGGCTGGAGACAGAGCTTGTGGCATGAGTGGGTGGGGCCCCCGATCCATCCCCATGGGACGCACCCCCAGAGAGGCATAACTTCTTGTGGAAGAGAAAATCAACAGAAAAACAAAAAAATATGTAACAGACAGTAATACATACTGGGAGAAAAATAAAACAGGGCAAGGGGACAGAGAGTGATGGAAGGTGGTTTTTTAACCGGGGGTCACGGAAAGTCCCCCTTTGAGTCAATATTTGAGCAGAGACTCAGAGGAAGGTAAGAAAATGAGTCATGTGGTATCTGGAGGAAGCGCGTTCCAGGCAGAGGGAATGGCAGAGGCTAAGGCCCAGAGACAGGTTGTGCATGGAGCATCTGAGGAACAGCAAGGGGCGGAGTGTGGCTGGAGTGATGTGAGCGAGGACAGGGGGCAGGAATGTGTGGGGCAGGAAGGCAGGTCATTAAGGCAGGAGCAGAGACTTTGAATGTGTAACACAGATCCCTGCTACTGGTTCTAGGGCTTGCTGACAGCCATAAAGCTCCACAGCTCGTGGGTGCTGTGGTGGGCTGCCCAGGCTCCCAGGATTAGACCAGTTGTTTAGCTGTTGGGAGTGTTGGCTGCTGATGGCTGAGACTCTTTCTGGGAGCTGCTCTCAGCTTAAGGATGCTGCCTTGATCAGGGTCACACCGTCCCCGAAAGGTAACCCATATTCAATTACTGACAGAGGTGAGGAACACAGACCTGGCCCCTCTGCCTCAACTTGGACTGACTCTAGGGCCGCCCCAGCTATGGAGCTCCTATGGGACCAGCTGGGGCCTCTGTCATGACTGCATCACAGCTCAGCCCCTTCTCTGCCCAACCCTTCTTCCCTCACTCCCCCCTCCTATGTTGACGCCAATAAGTCATCTACTCATAGCCCTCCACCTTGGAGACTGTTCCCTTGGGCCAACCTAAGACAGACCTGGACATGACTTTCACATTTCCTGAGCCTTCACCTGACCCCCATCACTGCCCTGTGCAACAGGCAGGCCAGAAGTCAGCCCCGTTGTACAATCCAGGAAACTGAGACCCAGAAAGGGAAAGGGAATTGCCTTGAGTAAGCCATAGAGGGCTTAAATTCCATGTCCTCCAACCTCAAGTTCAATGCTTTTCTTCAATCGATCCTGTATTTACTGAGTTTCTACTAATTGTGAGACTGTGCAAAATAGAGGACGAGACACAGTCCATCAACAAACAGCCAAGCCTAGTATGGGAGAAGCATATTCAGAGGTAGCCAGGTGACTGTAGACTTTGCAGGGCCTGGGTATTGAGTGGGAAGTGGGGGCTGTGAGGGTTAATTTTAATCTGTTAACTTGCCTGGGCTAAGGATGCCCAGATAGCTGAGAAAACATTCTTTCTAGGTATGTGGATCAGCACTGGAAGCAGCAGACTCAAGAAAGAAGATCATCCTCACCAATGTGGGTGGGCATTACCTGATCTGCTGAAGGCCTGAGTAGAACAAGGTAGAGGAAGGGGGACGCTGCTCTCTCTGCTGGAGCTGGACCGTTCATCTTCTCCTGCCCTTGAACATGGACTCTCCCTGCACCACAGCTGGTTCTTGGCCCCTCAGGCTTGGACTGGAATTTACGCCACTGGCACTCCTGGCTCTCAGGCCTTCAGGTTTAGGTGAAACTACACCACTGGCTTTCCTGGGCCTCTTTCTTGCAGACTGTGGGACTTCTCTGTCTCCATAATCACACGAGCCGATCTCTCCTGATAACTCACTTTCTCTGCATCTATATACAGCCTATTCCTTCTGTTTCTCTGGAGAACGCTGCCTAACAACCAGGCCTTGTGTGCCCAGGTAAGGAGTCTGGCACGGAGGAACCATTCAAAGGTTTTAAGCAAGGAGGTCATGTCGTCAAATTTGGGTGGTATAAAGGTCACTCCAGCAGCCCGTTAAGTATAGACCAGTGAGACCTCTGGGCCAGAGGATGTCACGGTCATCACCCAATGAAGAGATGTGGGAGGAAGCAGGAACTGGGCACAGGATGGACTTTGGGTGGTGGTAGAAGCCAGGATCTGCCTTGGGCAGCCAAGATGCCACCCCTGGGACATAACAGTGGCAAGAGCAGGTAGTGGGAAGGTGACAAGTTTGCAGAGCCCAGCGGGGCGGGCACAGGCAGCTCTGGAGTCTGGGAGAGATGGCAGGTGAGAAAGGTGGACCCAGAATGATGATGAGGAGCCTCAATTGGAGGAAATGGAGACATCGGAACAGGCAAAGCCACCACAGACACAGCTAGAAAACCGGCTAAGTTCAAGATGTAGGTATGTTTTCTTGGCCTGCCCAGAGTTTATTTCCTAGTATTAAATCTCTACATCACCGCAATCCGTCCACAGTCGAGGCTTCAACACTCTGCCCACAGACCTCCATTTCCCAAGGACCTAACACCCCAGCCCCAGGGACTCTCGAAGCCCAGAGGACCTTCAACCTGCGGGTCCTACCAGCTTTTTACTGCCCGTCACTGCCATGTGTCACTTCCCTCCGTGCCCAGCTCGAATTCTGTGGCAGTGGTTATCACCACCCCCCGTCTGCACCCTCCACTGCCTTGACACCCTCCCCCTTCGCTAAGCCACAAGCCCGGCTAGATTCAGCGTCTCCTCCTACCCCACCCCTGCACACGGGAAGCGGGGTGAAGTGGGAGGAACACACAACCCACTGACTGATCTTACTTTAAATGCACGATCCTGATCTCACATGGAAACCCAGCAATCATTCTGCGGCTTCCTCGACCCTTCGCCATTGCACCGTCCTGGGAGTTTTCACACTTCCTCTCCTCAAACCGCCAATGCCCCCTCCTCCAACTTCATTGTCAACTAATGACCTTGAGAAGAAGAGCAGGCAGAAGAGGACTTCCAGAGGCAGCCACCATCCCAATGCCATCCATCTGCATCTGTGTCTGCCAGCACCCTTCTCTCCTCCTGAG